AGAGAGAGAGAGAGAGAGAGAGAAAGAGAAGCTAACTTGGGTGTTCTGGTGCACATTTTGAAGAGATGTTGTCACACCCCCAAATCGGAACAATGGAAACGTTATGGGATGGAGGATGTCATGTACAATATCACAACAATTGCATCATAGTAATAAAAGTAAACACATCCATTACATTGAATAATTAGAGTATTTACATCTATTCAATACATAATTGTATGACAACAAAATGTATAACAAAAGTATAAAAGACGCGACTCTAGAAGCTCTGTCTTCTCAATACCTACGGGTGTACCTGTCTACCGATTCCCTAAGAATACAAGTAGTTTTAAAAGTGTATCAACATTTAAGTTGTTGAGTTCATAAGAATATTTTTGTAATGAAAACCTGTCATTGAATCTATGAAAATGTTTGTATGTTTCCCAAGAAAATCCAATATTTTCTTTAGTAATGTAAAGTAGTCTTAAACCATAAGACCTAAATGAATGTTCGTTACTATATTCGGTAGTTGTGTATGAAAGTATTGATGGGTTTTGAGAATTCTAACACTCCTAAGGTGTACATGCAACCTAAATACCTTGGATCTATGTTTTCTCTATTATACATGTAAATATCAATCATCCAAGGTATTGTTCTAACTAGTATAATATGAAGTACATATAATATAGATTCTAGTAGAATTATATACCTCTTTGTTGTAGCGTGATTCCATGGAGCTTAAGAGCCTAGTGCCTCAAATGTGAGACCTTAAATGGTTCACACAACATCACCAACATTTTGGAATAACTTGAGAGAAAAGGTTCCTATGCTCAAATCGGCTAGCCCTCATGTCTACACACACTAGTGCCAATTTCTTGAGCCATGGGGTCCTTATATATTATGGCTATTAGGGTTACACCATGTAACTCATGTCTTTCCATATTCTTCATGCTCCATGGGTTAAAACCTCCATGGAGTATCAATGGGTTACTCCATGGGTTTAGCCCAACAAGAAGAACTATGGATCATAAGCCCACATATATAAGAATGAATGATTTACACAATCAATCCCCATATATTTAGTTAGTCTCCTTTTGATCACAAAGTTAATTCGAAATTAATTCTTGATCGATACTAATTAAATAATATTATTTTATATTAATATATTAGAACTTATAATATATTAACAAGTCATTAATATCATTTTCTGACAAAAGTCTATCCAAATTGTTCCGATGCCACGCAAGCCAAATGGACAATGCCAAGTCGGGTCGAATACATACCAATAATAATTTGGGCTTAGACATCTAATCCAAAAGTCTCCCACTTGGATAAATCTAAAACTATTATTGCGTATGATTCCAAAACCCGACTAACAATCGTTGCCCTCAAAAGTTGTTGTCGAAGTCTGAACAAATCAATGACGCATCCATTAGATAAGGGATCATATATTCCTCCATTCTAGATATCATATGGACTGAGACATGGATTATAATCATTCTCTCTGTCCATCCGTTGTTTCACGATTTCCGATTTATGACGACCGACTAATTGAACAAATCAAATCAATCCAGGCTTGGCCAAGCACTTCGGGGTGTCATCACTAAATCATCGAGGGGCCCACATATATTGCTTTTATCCCTTAAAGGGTAAAAGGAATGGATAAACTTCAACTCATATGCTTGTTCCAGTACTTGTTGAATCATACACAAAGGCACGTTTTATAACATCGAGTTACCAATGCGTTTCCGTACAATCAGTGTATGACCAATTCATAGTCAAAAACTCATATCTCTAGGTTTGAAGAATATAAGATATTATCGTCTCATGATCACTCTTGATAAAATCCATGAAGTGAGTCAAATGAGCGTGGGTTGAATCCAATACTCAGAACTTGTGAGCACTCATGAATGTTGTAGCAACTCTTTCTATCTCCAATACCTTGGACATCTACAAACCAACTTCATGACAGTCTTGACTTAATACCTACTTCCAACGTATTATCGACTATGGATGGTTTGAATAATGTAACATCCCAAAAATACAGGCCAAAATTTTCATTTTTAAATACGTTATTAGAAAACCAACAGTGTAATAAAACATCCGTAATATCATGTCATGTCAAAACGATAGTAGAAATAATCAAAACATGTTGTCATAAAACAATATCAGAGTGTAATCCCAAAGATCTCATGTGCGGAAAACCATAGTGTGATGCGCTGCGATTGAGCCGTCTCCTTTCCTTTTAAAACGAATAGCTGAAACCAAAACTGTAAACCGTAAGCACGAAGCTTAGTGAGTTCCCCCATCATACCACATACCACACAATCACATAGCATACAAACTGCTGGGAAATTATGGGGTGCCCGACATACCCGGTACGACCATTCTAGGGTGCCGACCTACCCGTGTCAAGCCATTATGGGGTGCTGACCTACCCGCCGGGCCTAACAATTGACCCTCAGGGACTATTCCACCCCTACTGCTACTATCGCATGTATCATAACATGAACATACTATCAGACATATATGAGGTGTCCGAAATACCCTTCGGTCCTAACAACCGAACTTGGGGACTATTCCCCTCCTACTGCCACTATCACATATAACATATCATGCCAACATATCATCACATACTGTCAGACATATCTAGGGTGTCTGGCCTACCCATTGGTCCTAACAACCGAACTCTACTACTATCACATATAACATATCATGTAGTAGCAAACATAGATGACATCACAAAGACAATCATCTAACATACAACCCCTACTGGTGGGCCGGCATTGTGGCCGTAGACCCACCGCTACTGGAAGGTAACTCACCTCACACTGCTGAAGTCCCATAGACACAATCCCATACTTGCTGAAGTCCCGCAAACTCAACCCCAGTTGTTGGATGACAAATTCCTGAACTGTCAACACCAAAACAACACCCAATTAATAATTGGGTCCCAACACATAACCATAATACATACTTGGATAATTACTTCATTACCCCAGGATTGGCTTATATAAGCCCAATGCCCAATCCATAGGCCCAAAGTGAACTAGGAATTAAAGCCCAACATATGGCCCAATTTTCCAAATTAGACTCAGGCCTATATGTGGTCTTATTCTAAGGCCCAACATTATACAATCATTAAGGCCCAACTATGGTCCATCTATGGCCCAATTTTCTAAATTGGACTCAACCCCTTACATGGGACTTTCCCTAGGCCCATTAAATTATTTTAGTCCATATAATTATTCTTGGATGGCCCATTAATAATCCAATCATCAAGGCCCAATAGAAAGTCCCAACAATAAACCCAAGTGAAGTTAGGGTTTCATATGAAATGATGATTAAGGTTTAGTGTTTCTTTCTTAACCCATTAAGGACTTAATCCATGAAGTCCATTATGCCTTACGCTAGTTTTCCAATGATTATTAATTATTATTTAAGATTTAATAATTAATTCTCGTGTGCATCCCAAGTAATTTCCACAAATTAGGGTTTTATTGGCATTATGGTTTTTCCAACCCAAATATTAGTCCATTTATCAATTTGTTGGGCTTTTAGGTCCATTAGGGATTTATTGGGCCTATTAGGCCACTAGAATATCATTAAGCCCAAAGGATTTTATTGTCCATTAGAGTCCATTAGGCTTCATTGGGCCCATTTGAGCTTCTTTGGGCCTATTAGGGTTTCAAGCACCTTAAACGAATCAACACCACGAGGCAAAGCACACCGCCACCCAACACGGCGGTCTATGGCGGCAAGAGGCAGCGGCCACCACCCCAAGGAGGTGGTTTTCAATTTCCTTCATTATTCCAATTTGCAATTTAAATCCTGAATATTAAAATCCATTACAACTTAGGTGCAAAATTTACCAATTTAACCCCTCCTTCAATAATTCTTCACAAATTCGACTCCTAATTTACCAAACAGCCGCTTAGCCCCAAAATCTCTTCAAATGAAGTCCCAGAAGTTACCATTTAGTCCCTGCCTTCATAAATAATTATAAAATGAGTCCGGAATTTATACTTTTAACCCCCAACTTCTGAATTGTGCCAATTAACTCCTCGAAACCAACACCCTGCATATATAATTATTTGTTTTAGGGCTACGAGCCATTAATTAATTAATTTAATAAATAAACGAGGTTTTACAAATAACTTAGTCATTCAGGAAGAACAACCTAGTTATTCTGTAAGTCAAAACATGCAAAGTGAAACACAAGAATAATCAAATCTAATATCATCTTAGAACTTATAAATATAAACAGAACAAATTTTATTTATCACCATATTGATTACACATTATTCATTGCATACTATTTCAAATTATCAACTTTATACTTGAATTAAAACAATAGTTGTCCCATGCTCCAAGCATGTACACTATGTTTATTATTTGAACACTAGTCATGCCATACACCATCTATACACACTATGTTTGTTTATTATCTTTAGACAAAATTGCAAGAATGTTCCAAGTGGTATGTCAAAACTAGCGACTTTGGTCCAAAATGGGTTTGGCTCGCAAGGATGGTCCAATAGTTTCGTTTTGTAGCGAGTTTAGTATAATTTCCTATGAACTTTTTTCTAATGACGGATCTGCCCTTATTATTTAATTTGCTATTTGTTTATAATTTCTTTTTATTTTTCTAATTAAAATTTAAACAAAAGAAAAAAGAAAATTTAACCCCACTTTCTTTATTCCCTACAAGACTAGTCCGATCACCACTGCTACCGGAAACCACCACTACCACCACTCCAGAAAAAAAAATTCATATTTGAAAAACAAAATAATCATTTTTTTTTCACATCTGCAATCTAAAACATGAACAATCCAATTTTCTACAAACTTAATTTTTTCCATACCACTCAAATTGGAACAAGAACACTCATGAACAAGAAATCTGAAAATGTCCAGAAAACAAAAATGAAAACCAAATCGATTATTGATTTCTAAAAACAAAATCGATGGAGAAGAGGGTGGATGTTTTTGGTATCTTGATCTAGAAAGTCATCGGTCGGATGTTGGAGTCGTTGGAGCCGGAGTCACCACCTTTCACCGGAATAGGTTTCCAACGTGCGTTACTGTCTGGGATCTTTGCAACCTCTGTGTTCATCTATACGGAGGTGACAAACGGCCATTTAATAAACCCTAAATTGTCACCAAGAAAAGCTCAAGATCTCTGTCGCCATGTTCCTCTGATTCTTCAGATCTATCTTGGACTCACACTCGAAACACCAAAACCCTCTTTGTCAGCTTCAGATCTTCGCCACTATGATCCTTCGATTAGAAAAACCCGCGCATTTGAAAGCCTACGTCACTTTGGGCTCGCCATTGCTACGAGAGAAGAATTGATAAAAAAAGAAGAACCGAGATCCGGAAGATTTAGAGTTCATGGATGACGAGACCTGAACATCTAAGGGGTGGCACCGACGATGGTGTAATGAACCAAAAATCTGTAAACAAAGAACCAGAGTTACGGTTTCACTTGTTGAAAACTGAAGTGGGGGAGGAAGAGAGATGAGCAGGTGGTGACTCCATCTAGATGGTGGCTACTGTGGCACAGGGTGGCTGTCCGGTGAGAAGATTCCAACTGATCTAATTTTTCCGACAGCTTATGTTCTTTTAAAATGAAAATGCATTAGAGAGAGAAAGAGAAAGAGAAAGAGAGGAAGGAGGGATGAGGTGTGTATTTTTATTTCTCTTTTTTATTTCTGATTTATGCAATAAAAAGAATTAAGAAAATAAAACTAAAAAGGGCAAATCCGTCATTATAAAAAAGTTCATAGGAAATTGGACTAAACTTGCAACAAAAAGAAACTATTGGACCATTCTTGCGAGCCAAACCCGTTTTGGACCAAAGTTGCTAGTTTTGACATACCACAGGGACCATTCTTGCAATTTTGTCTTATCTTTACTATGTAGAATAGATCTATTGAAAATAATTCTAACGATTCTCATTTCACAATCACAAATCCTTACCGTAAATGCAAGAATTCCAAATTTCTGCCATTTACCGAAATCTGTTAGATTTTAAATTTATATGCACTGATCCTCTTGTAATGATTATGCACAAAGTCACAGACACCTGTCGACAGTCATTACAGAGTATTCCAATGGATATCAACTCCATGGAAACGTGGTTTCATATTCAAAGTACATTGCTTTGAACATCCTTTTTGCATTAAGTTTTCTAATCTTAAACAGATTTAATAACTTCCACCTATGGAGACACTTCCATATTCCCATTTTGACTATCACTTCTGAACAAGAGTTGCCTCCTTTCAGAATATGTCAATGTGGTCCTTCCAAAATTAATACTATACTTCCAATTGTCCCTTAGCAACCAATCTTTGGTAAACCTTAGATTGTCCTCAACAATTTCTTAATCAAATTAGTCGTATCTAGTTCTAGTACTTTTTTCTTCTTAATGCTCTAGGCATTTTGAAAAATTTAGAACAAATGAATATTATAGCACATGCAATCGATCCTATATCCAAAGCATATGGGACACAATTCATGATGTCTCACATAAAGACATGATACTAGACTAGTCTTTTGCTAAAATATTCCTAATTCTATTTGCCATGTTCTCATAATTCAGATTATGAAAAGGGATGTCGTAACCATAAAAGAATGTTAGAACGCAACAAATGTACCCATATATAGAATTTCCTTATGTTGAGCCATTCCAACATAATATATATATATATATATATATATATATATATATATATATCCTTGACTAAGGATGATTAAAATCTCAATCTAAGCTTTTAGACTTGAAATGAAGTATAATTTCCTCTCCCTTAGTTATAGAAAAACAACTTTTCCCAATTGAAACTTTTGTTTTCTATAATTAACATTGCTAACTTGAAACACTTATCATAATCATCATGCTCCCACTAACATTATGATTATTAGCATAACACTTATGCTCCCACTAGCTTTTCCATGTACTTAGAAGTCAGTTGGACTTCTAGAAATCAATACTTTATTGATTTTCTTACCAAAGTTCAGACTTCCGATACGATATGCTTTGATAAAACTTAATCAAAATCATACACCTTTCCTTAGATAGCTCACATGTGTGTCTAAACAATTTCAGAACTATGAAAAGGGATGTCGTAATCATAGCCTCAATTGTTTAGACCTTTTCCATTCCTCACAAGTCCATGTTAGTGTGTCGATTAACTATACACACTCCACTAACGACTTTGAGAATGCAAATATCACAATTTCTATCTACTTAAAACCTACTTAGTGAAAGCGTTTCCTCACCATCATTTTTCATGAATTGGAGAGAAACCTTATGACACTTAGATTTTATGGTGTATGTGTTCCTATCCATGTGAATTTGTCATAGCCATAATCACAAGACAAGGTCAATGACAAATCCAAAGTCATATGGACCGAACTCATGCAATCTTAACTTCTTGCCACTTGGCAGCATAAGGCCTACCATTTCTTCCAGATTGTTATGATAAAAGTTAAGAACTTTTAGAACTCAAATGCATAGTCAACTTTAACCAGAATAGGCACATAAATAAGAATATGTCAACACGATAGGCTATAAACCTCAAGTCGTGTGCTAGTGATAAACAACATGTTTTATTCTTGATTAGTTCTTGAAACTCTTGCCAAGAACCATTCCTTGAAAAAAAAATATTCAAGAGATGGTGCGGATTCTTATCAAGAAAAACACTTCACACAATTGGCCTTAGTTGGTCTTGTTTTATCCAAAACATCACAACTTACAAATTTCAAATGTACAAGAGTAGAACACATTTTACTCTTACATTTGACTAATGTTAATAAACCTTCTTTAAGATGTGTCACTCGAGTTACAATCTTGGAGTATGACTCTAAGAATTTTTTTGGAACAAAATATGACTCATCTTCTTGATTTAACCATTTCAAAAATTCATGAATCCTCTTCTTAGCCATAAGAATGCACTAAGATATCCTTAGATGATGAACTGTGATATGGTCTCACAATCATTAAGATAATCATAAAGCATGATACTAAAGTACTCTCCCATCTTTTCATATCTGAGAAACTTTTATCTTTCTGCCTTATTTGATTCTTCTCATTCGTTCTGCCATACATCAAAACTTTTCCAATGTTTCATAATTATACATAAACCTGTAAGTATAACCATATTTCCTAAGCTTTAGTAAATCATGACGGATAGTCTTATAGATATTTTGTGGTGGACTTGATCAGTGCACAAGAATGGATACTCGATCCCTCGGTCCTTCACTTGACTCACGTATACATGTGAACAAAGAATTAGTCTTAATTTTCCAAAGGATAAAATTCTTATTTGTCATACTACACAACTTGCATGATTCCAAGTTTTGGGATAATTGAAACTTGGGTGATGAGAATCTTCCTTATTTGTTAAATTTAGTCACTACCACAAATGAAAGAATCCAATTCCTTTTTTCCATTATTGCTAGAAACATACAACTATCAATTTTCAATAAAAATCATTGCAAGGAGATATAAACTAAAATAAAATAAAAATTTTATTTATTTATAAAATGCAGAAAAAAAACTTTTTCCTTACAATGCAGTTTTAAATGAAAACTATGTTATTACATAGTTCCTAGCAATCTATAATAACTTCTAAGTAGTAGCTCAAGAATCTGATCTTTGAACCATGCAATTGAAATCCATCTTCGCAATCAGATTCAACATACTCTTTCTTTAAGTTTCCTTCCCTTTGCTTAATCCTGCCATACATCAGAATGTATTAAGAACCTTCAAATAGGAACTTAAGAGAGTTAGATAGTTGACTTACCTGAAGCAGAGTCAAACTTTTTGACTTGAACTTCTCTTAGATCTTTCAGGTAGTTAGGGAAGCTTCGCAACTAATGCCCCTTCCTTTTGGAAATAGAAACATATAGACTCTTTGGCAATGGTAGATGTGACTATCTCAAACTTAGCATTTCTCTTTACCATTTGGTCAACTGAGTTGACTATGGCCAGTCCCTTTCCATTGGGAAGAGACAGCTTTTTCGGATTTCCAATGTTACCATTGTCAATGTCCATGCAAGTTTGGGAAGTTGATCTTCTAATCAAATTTTCTCTACTTGTCCTCCAAATCATTGTTGATTTAGCAGCACCAAGGAAATAGATAAGATCATTAAGGGTCATGTCGTAGTATGTTCCATAGTAGTCCCATAGGAACTCACTATGTGACATAGAAAGTGATTGAACATCCAACTTTCTCAAGACTTTGACACCCAACTCTCTCGGCTTGTCAATATGTGACTTCATTTCCAAGATGTGATCATACATAGACCTTGTTTGCCAATAGGGCTTGAGTGACCTTGAACTATTCAAGAACTTGTAGGTTAGCGAGAATAATTGGAGGAGATGGAGGAAGAGAACTATGATTTCCATTAGCCAACAATGGAACATCGTCTTCATTAGGAAATCTTGTTCCAAGAGATTTTGGATGATCATAGATGTCTAAACTAGACATCTAATATGGGAGATATTCAAGTTAGTTGATTTAAAGTCCTTAATATGACACCCAATATGAAATATTAAGGCTAGGACCCAACACAATATTTTATAACTTGGAAAAGGGATGCCGTAATCCAAGCTATAAAATATTTGAAGGTAGTTGAATGATGATTCACCAATTTCCACCATGAAAAACGAAATAGTTTATTAGGTTTTAATTCGAATTGAAACTCCTAGATCTTTTGAGATTCATTGAACTTTTCAATGGCATATTTCAATCTCGATTGTGCTCTCTCAAGTTTTGTGACTAGGCTACCGAGGATCACAAAAAAAAGGTGTGAATAACTATGCAAATATACTTGGTACCCTTAATATTTATCACTCAATCGATATGCCGGTTAACCAAACGTGCTCCATCGATACTATGATAAACATTAAGTTACCCTTTTCCTACCTTGTTAAATCTAGCTAGTGTGTCGGTTAACCACAGGCGCTCCACTAACCGACTTAAGGAAAGTACAAAGTGTAATTTCATGGGTTAGCACCAAATTCACATTTTCCTAAGTAACTAAGATTGGGAATTCATAAGTGTTTAGTTACTTAGTATTTATCATTATACTTTTAATGAAGGGAGAATTATAGTCCTTGTCCTACCCGTTCGGCTAACGACCCTCCACCAGTCAAGGAAGTAGTGGGTGAGAGTAGACACCCATTAAACTGTCATTTTATAGGCAGTAACCTTATACCCCCTTTATATATCGGGTTCATGAATGAGGTCTACTAACAGTAAGACTGACTTTCTCTTATACATGTATATATTATGAACTTATAATACTCTAAATTATAAGGGTTGAATTTTAACTTTTAAAATTCTAAGGACTTAACTTGGAATTAAAGTATTCATGAGGGGAAACTTTACAAATT